CACAATAAATTGGAAGTCACAGAAGACTACCACCTCGTTGGCTTCCATTACTACTGCTAATTTTAATCTTGCGATTAGTGCCTCATATTCTACTTCATTATTTGATGCTTTGAATCCCAAACAGATAGATTGTTCCAACATTCACCCATTTGGTGATACTAACACCACTCCTACTCCCGTTCCTTGACGGTTTGAACTCCCATCCATAAACAAGCAAAATGAGTCACCGATATAAATATCACAGGGCTTGAGTTTCTCTTCCTTTTTCTGCTCTGCTGTAGTGATTTTCATTCCCACCTAGGTCTCTTCTTGTTCCCTTGGACACCTTAAGCTGCTTATCAGAGCCCGATGTGGGATGGCTCCAAGTGTGAACTCAGCCACAAAATCGGCCAAAACCTGGCCTTTAATTATTGTTCTAGGCCTAAATTCCAAGTCGTATTGGCCCAGTACTACAGCCCATCTAGCTACCTTGTTTGTCAGATCTCCTTGTTGTAGCAAGGACTTCAAAGGGTGCTCAGTTAATACCATAATCTTATGGGCTTGGAAATAATGGTTCAACTTCTTGGAGGCCATCATTAAGGTCAATGTCAATTTCGCCAGGGGTAAATACCTGGTTTCTGCGCCTGCAAGGGTTTTACTCACATAGTATATTGCCATTTATTCTGCATTCTCTTCTCTGATTACCACTGCACTCACTGCATGCTCCAAAACCGCAAAGTATAAGAACAGCTCCTCTTCAGATATTGGATTTGAAAGAATTAGAGATGTGGTTAGGTATCTTTTCAAGTCGGCTAAGGTGACTTCACATTCCTGTCCACAAGAAATCTATGGCCTTTTTTGAAGGACTGAAAAATGGTTTACACTTATCTGAACCTCTGCTTATAAATTTGTTCAGGGCTGCGGCCCTTCCAATCAATTTGTACACTTGTTTTGCCGACGTTGGGCTTTTCAAATCCAAGATGGCCTTAATTTGGTCTGGGTTTGCCTCAATACTCCTTTTGGTAACCAAGTATCCTAGGAACTTACCAGATCCAACTCCAAATGCACATTTCAAAGTATTGAGTCGGAACCGATATGTTCTAAGGAAGTCGAAAACTGTTTTCAAGTCGGCCAAATGATCCTCAGGTTCTTTGGTTTTCAAGACCATGTCATCAATGTATACTTCCACAGTTTTGCCAATCAGATATCTGAACATCTTGGTCACTAACCTCTGGTACGTTGCTCCTGTATTTTTCAACCCAAAAGGCATCACTCTGTAGCAATACAACCCTTTTAGGGTGATAAATGCAGTCTTCTCATCATCAAGGGGTACATTGTTATTTGATGGTACCCTCTGTAAGCGTCTAGAAAACTCATCATTCCATGCCCTGAAGTGGCATCCACTAATTGATCGATCTTGGGGAGTGAGAAACTGTCTTTGGGACAGGCCTTATTTAGGTTAGTGAAGTCCGCGTAGACCCCCCACTTCCCATTCTTTTTTTTTCACAACCACAGTGTTAGACAGCCAAGTAAGGTAGTTTACTTCTCAGATGGCTCTGGCCTCTAACAATTTGTCCACTTCCTCCTCTACTGCCTCCACATAAACCAAAGTCGGCCTTCTCGCTCGCTGAATGACGGGTTTAGCCGACCATTCTACGTTTAGTCTGTGGCATGTAACTTCGGGGTCAATGCTAGGCATCTTGTATGGCGTCCAAGCAAACACCTCTATGTTTGCTCGCAAGAATGCTTCTAACTCCATTTCCTCTTTCTCGACCAAGCCTGAGCCGAGGAGGAAAAAGCACTCTTCATCCCCTTGCTGAACTAGAATTTTCTTCAAGGCTTCCTCACTTTTGTCCGCCGGTTCTTTGCCGACGTTATCCAAGACCTCTATGTCCTCGTCTTCAATCTCTACTATTTCTGTTTCTCGTACGTTGCAGATGGATTTCATTGCAGCTATGGAGCAATTCTTTGCCTACACCTAATCCCCTCTGACCTCCTCAATTCCATGCTTTGTTGGGAACCACAATAGTTGGTACAGTGTTGAGAGAATAGCCTTCATTGCGTGCAACCATGGTCTCCCCAAGATAACATTGTAAGGGGAGGAGGTGTCAATTATTGTGAACTCTGTACTTACCTTCTTGGTGCCTGCCTGCACCTCCAAACTTATTGCTCCCAGAGGCCATGTCGGCGTTCCATTGAACTCGACTATTGGACTGCTCCAAATCATCTCGATGAAGGCCGAGCTCCTTGTATCATCTGACATACATGATGTCACAAGAGCTGCCTTAGTCAATTAGAATGCGCCTTACCTGGCATTCTCCAATCTTGAGAGATATCACCAGAGCATCGTTGTGTGGATATTGCACCATGCCTAGGTCGACTTCAGTAAAAAACACCATTGGTCCCTGGTACTCGTCTGCCCTAGGCCTTTTTTGCTAGACCTGATACACATGCTGTAAGTGCTTTACCCTCTGAGTCTTGCCACGTACCTAGTTCTCATTGACCTTCGAGTGAATCACATTGATTACTCGAGGTCCGTCTGCTTACGATTGTGGTGCTGGCGGAGGTGGTGCTACCGGTGCCTGGGGTAGCCTTGCTTGTTCTTCCCTTGTTCTGGCATCATCTACTAGGTCCCTTAAGTGACCTTGTCTTACCAGATCTTCCAAATGTGCTTTTAGGGCTCTACAACCCTATGTCAAGTGTCCATCTTCATTGTGGTAAGCACAGTGCTTTCCCAAGCTTCTTCCTATGAATTCGCCAGGAACCTTTTCTGGCGTTCTATAATACGGCTGGTTCCTGATTCTTTCCAAAACTTTATAAATTGGAATTCGAAATATGGTAGTGACTACCTGTGCAGCCCTTAGTCCTGTCTCTTGCCTGCTATATCCAGTATTACCTCGGCCTCGCTTCGGTGAGCCGTTTCTCTTCTCCTGTTTCGACGCCTTTGTCCCTAGCGTGTCCTCTTCAGCTCTCGTATATTTCTCGATCCTGACCATGAGTTCCTCCATACTTTTTGGCAACGTCTTTGCCAGTGACTTTCGAAGCAGGTAGTTATCGTTCAGGCCGTTCTTAAAAGATTTAATCACTAACTCTTGGTTGCACCCTGGTATTCGGTTAAACACCTCATAATACCTTTTGGCATAAGCCCTAAGGCTTTCATCCTCGCCAATTCTTAGAGCCATCAGGGAGTCTACCCTCAACGGCTGCAGTTTGTTTGTAACGAACCTGGCCACAAACATCTCGGCTAGTCCTTCCCAACTTTTCACTGTTTCTTTTGGCAATTTGTGAAATCAATTTGATGCGATTTCCCCAAAGGATGAGGGGGACATCTTGCAGAGCAATGGTTTGTTCCCGGTATATAGTGCCATTGAGTTCAAATATAAGTCGACGTGAAAGTCAGGATCGGACTTACTGTTATATATCTGGAATCTCGGCATGTGGAACCTTTCCGGGGTCTCAAACTTGTTCAATTCTACTGAGAACGGCATTATCGGCTTGACCGGAGACGTGACCTCGGCATCTTGTCGCTTCCTCTGGAGGTAGTCCCTCAAATCCTTCTTAGTCCATCCAGCAGCTCGCCTATCAACGAATTTTAGCTTTTTTGGTGCGCTGTTCCTGGTGTCGTTGTGAGTCCTCTTGGACCTCGCCTCATTCATCGTGTCGAAACAGACCTCCTTCCCCTGAACATGTCGTTGTTCTTTGACGTAATTCTCCTTGGCACGAGGTGTCTTCTAAGACTCTTCTCTCACCGATTCTCCTCGCCCGACCTCTCGTGAAGGCCGATGCGAATGCTCCTTTGCCCTGTCATGTTGAGGGACTGTAGGAATTGTTTTCTATCCCTCTTTCTGGGCATCGTTCTTGGCCGTTGGAATTAGTGTGTCCTCTAATTGAAACGGTGGCTGCATGACGTTGTTCTGCATCATGAAATTGATGACCGATTGTAGGTCTGCCAACTTGTTTGCCATTTCCTTCATCTCGCCGTCCCTCCTTAGACATCTATCTTTCCATACCTAGAGGTCACTTTCGTTGTAATACCCGCCTTGATATGCTTTCTTCGGTGCGTCTCCCTCCTAGCCGACGTTCTTTTCTCCTGGATTCTTATCCCGAGGTTCTTTATTACAGTTGTCCTCCTTAACGTTAGGATTGGCATTTTTACCACTCCCACTAGGGATGTCACCCCCAATCTTTTCTTTCTGCTCGTCGTTGGCCATCTATTCTTCTTACGTTTCCCACAGACGACACCAAATTGTGGGTGCTGATTTCCGAGCACACTACCAAACAGGAACTCAGTAGGAGAGCATAAGCAGAATAAATCACGCCCGAACAACCTGTCACAGAAAGATAAGACTCCAGCGGCGGTTCGTCCACCCAGGAGTACTCTGACGATCAAGTCAGTACTTAGTTATCTCTCAAAGATAGTAAATAGTGCTTAACTCGCTAGCCAAAATATAAAAAGCGTACCTTAGACCCACGAGAGTGCCTTACTTTTATGGCCAGCACTAACTTGATCCTTGTAGAAGCCTAACTTTAATGGATTCTAACTCAATAACTCCCAACTAGATAGATATAAATTTTCTAAGAGCTTTATCTTTATTCAGACACCTCTCCCATTTTAAGACTCTTTATCTCTTATCCACTAATCTCGTATTCCGGTATCTCGTTACCCGCTTAGCTTCGTTAAAACGAATCAAGATCCCCTCCTTACATTTCCTACTTGCAGGGCCATTGGGCCCACTTTTAGGCCTAATTTGATAATCCGAACCATTTATAATTTAAGATTTGTTCAGCATATCATACTTGTAAAAAATCAAGTTGATCGGATATAAGAAAATATGTGTTCAGAAAACTGTTTATTAGATTTTTAAAAAAAATAGTTGTACTTTGAGATTTCCAAATACATGCTTTCTGATATCTGATTAATTTGATTTTTTACAGATATGATATTCTGAACAAATCTTACAATTTGAACGATTCGAATTATCAAAATTGGGCCTAAAATGGGCCTAATAGCCCTCCAATTAGGAAATGCAGGGAAGAAATGCAAGGAGGGGATTCAGATTCTCCTTAAAACACCATCCCAAAAACTCCATTGCACTGTTGTCATGGATGGGAAGCCGCTCCACCTCCCAATCACCCTTGCAGCCATGATGACCAACACTCAACAGCTTTGGAGGCCATGTTGGTGCCACTAGTATACCCAAAAAATTGTTAATCTGCATATACCCTTGTCGGAGACACTGTGGAGGGAGAGGGAGAGGGAGGAGGGTCATCGGAGTACATGGCCGCTGATGTGATTGAAGCTACTTCGCCTTCTCTTCACAGGTTTATATATATTCTTAATTTTACTTCGATTTGTTAATAAATTGTGGTTTTTGTGTTGTTTATTTCCAATTTTTTTGCTATCTCAAGTCGATGAATTGACAGCAGACGTTAGTGGATCTGCTTGGGATGGTGGTTTGCTTACAGTTCTATAGCTTCTCTGGTACTTCTTGATTTTTCACTTATTAATTTCTTACATATCTATTTTGTAAAGGAAAAAAGAAAAAGAAAAAGAAGAGGATATTTGCTTGGTATTTCTTGTTATAGTAAGAGTTTGGATCATCAATTGTGAGAGTCTCTGGATTCTGAGTACGAGGGTAGTTCGGACCTGCCGAATAAAATTGAAAATTAAAGTGCCATGATATGCCCCTTGATGCAAGCTTGAGAAGAAGAAGAAGATAGAAAAGGAATGTAATTGCATAAAAATAGAATTTCAAAAAAAACACAAAACAAGATTCAATTTGATTACACCCTCCGTCCCTCTTTCTTCTATCTTATTCATAGACTTTATAGACCAAGATTGTAGTTAACAATTCCTACTTTACAGGTAACGGTTCGAGATTAACTAACTTGCTTGCTAACTGCTTAACTGATCACTAATCTATCCCACTGATTTAACTACTACTTCTAGTTCATCGCAGGCTCTCCTCAGCTGCACTTCCAGTTCATCAACACTCCATTTACATTCATATCACCCCTCTAGCAGTAAAAGAAAAAGTAAAAAAAAATGATTGAATGTAGAAAAGAACGAGAATTAGAAGGAGCAATTTACTTCTTCATTATGGACACGGACGTGTGTTTGGTTGGGAGATTTGGGAAGGGATTTAAAAAAGGTAAAGAGAAAAAGATAGGTGAAATGTGAATAAAATATACCTACATTTCACTTAGTTTTACACACATTTTCCCTTTCTATTTTCAAATCGCTCCTCAAATCTTCCAACCAAACCCAACGGAAGAGAATACTTGGAGAATGGATTGGGGAGGGAGACGGAAATTCTCAGTAATATTCCAATACCTAATGCCTTAAATTTAATTTTCGTATTGTATTTGATTTAACTTATGTTATTTTCGTTTGGTTAGGTGTGTACTCAATCTTTTCCCTCCCAAACACACATTAATGTGTACTAATTGGGCGTTGCTTTTATTTTCGTTTGGTTTGGGCCTAGAGTCATATGGGAATTGGAGCCACAAACATTAGTCGGGCTTTGATCTGGACACTCCGGTGCCAATCGAAAAAGTAAAAATAAAAAAGACCAGCCATTCACTATTTGGAATGACTTTTCCCAAATGGATCATAGGATCATATGATAACCATGGCTAAGCAAGTATGAAGCTGTACCATGACACCCCTAGCCTTACTCTTGATCAAGGCAGGTGTCAACCGTCAAGGTTCAAGGTCCAAAAAATGCTCTTTGGCACCTCTCAAGGTGTTTGTCTTTAATGCTTGTCCTGCACATTTTATTATGTGGTGGGCTACTATAGGAGAAATCTAAGCTTCTATAGAAGGTAAGCAGAATTCTGCAAAGTGTTCTAACTGTTCTGAGAGAATTAAAACACATCATATGATAGTGTGAGAGCAAACATGAGGTTTCAGTAACGTGTCTCTTTAAATACATTCACAGGGTTGGTTTGTGTGTTTCCAAAGCGTAATCGATCTAAAATTGTAGATTACTTCTCTGTTTTCAATTTTTTTTCCCTTTATGTTTTCTGATTGGGTTTTTCGGCTCTTGACACTTCTGTTTTCATCTTCTTGTGAGTTTTAACTTTGTTAGATTCATCCACTTACCAAAATGAAAGAAGGAAAAAAACAAAGAAAACAAGAAATTCTGGCAAATTCCTTCCAACCATTTTGGGTACCAGGGCCCCTGTCATGACATTGTTAGAAATGATTTCATGGAGTCCCTAGCATAAAAATGAGAGCTAGTTCAGTATGCAAATTTGTTGCCCTCCCAGTACAATGACCTAACTGAAGCGGAACATGCATTGTTTTTTGAGAAATTGTGGAAGCAACAATGAGGTGGAATCAAATTGCTACTCTTCATTCCGGAGATGATAGTGAAATTGGGAAAGGAAAGCAGAAGGCTCACTTGATCGTCGCAACAGATGCTTGCCTTCCACTTCTTAATTCACGGGAGTCACCAATTGCTGCTCTTGTTTTAATAAAATATGAGATATCAACAAAGACGGTAGGTTTATCCCTTCAGGGTTTGTGTGCGCCACAACAGTACAATACTATAAATTTATTTGTATTATTACTATTATATTTATTATTTTTTGTTCATTGTAAGGTGATATAATTGGTGTTTCACAAACATTTTAGCCACATCAGATCACTGTGCCATTACATTGTAAGTTTATGATGAACATTTTGTGTTGCTTGCTTTCCTGTTCCTGAATTAGTCCCAGAGTTGGATCATTCTATACTTACGATCATTTAATTATTTCTGAATATTTATGCATAATGAGATAGAATGTTTAAATACTGGCTACCAAAAAGAGAGTTGGTGACAAGGTTGCTAAAGAAATCAGTTTTGGGTAGATTCTGGGTAGGACAATAACAGGAACTATGATACCTGAGTCGACTTGGTTCACCTGAATTGTGCTTTATAATCACGTGTTATTTAATACAAGTAACATATGTTATGTTGCGTTTAGTAAACCAGCTTATATGTCCAAATTGTCCAGCTATGATCTGTAGGATTTTAAAACAAACATCAACCCCGATTTATATGTGGAAACTCATGATTGCTCTAATACTAGCTCATCTGGGAGTCCATGTGACAGAACTTTTTAATTTGTAGAACAAAGTGTCTCTGAAGTTCTCTTGTTCTGCTTTTTGCAGCCACTTCATCGCATTACTTAGCCATACTAAACTGATAGTATTCAGTATGTTGATGACTAAATACTTTCTTGATGTTTTTCCAAAACTTTAGGTAATTGCTCATTGTTAATCTGGGAGTCCATGGTTTTTTCATAAAATTCATTAACTGAACAATTTTTACGGTTCTCATATTTCTTAATATGAAATCGAACCAATTCTTAATAAAACCGAACCAAACCGTAAGATTTGGTCTGGTTCGGTCTGGATTACCGGTTTGAACGGATTTTTGAATAGTCCTACTGTAATGTCATTAAAAGCAGTCTTAGGAAAAATTATTCGACATAGGGTTGAACTTTTTGGTGCAGGGTTCCTATATTTCTTTCTTCTTTCCCCATCTTCTTGTTAGCCAAACAAAATTAGGATTAGGTCTGTATGAGGTTTAGGCTTTCGTTTCCCTGGAATCTCACATGAGGTGGGGTTTGAGGTTGTAGCATCATTAGTTTAATGTCCCTTGTCTTCCTGGCAATCAATTAACCATGAGGCTTTTATTCTTTCTGCAGAAAAGTTGCTAGACCTGTTTTGATGGCACGGGTGAGGCACTAATATGAAGGTAATTCCGATTGTGACCAAATTTAGAAATGCTATTTTGAATATCATATATGAACCCTGCTAAATACCCCTAGTGGGGGTCGCACCCCCAGTGAGGTGGCGCGCCCCTACTGGCTGACAACCAAAAAAACAAAAAACAAAAAAAAAAAAAACAGTTTTTTTTCGCCCAATCACGGGCCTCCACCTCACTGGGGGTCGACCGCAAGCGGGGGTATAAAGTATTTTTGTATATGCATGACTAATGTATTCGTATAAGCCGAGCCCAACACTACCGCCTTGAAATTTACCAACAGCAAACAATAAAACAATAGGGATGTTGGATTTTGCATCACATGGATCATGTGATGTCTGCATCAAGAAGAAGTGAAGTTAGTTGGGACCCTGACCCTGACCCTGACACTCAGACATGTTGTGCTCTGCTCAGGACTGTTGACGGTTTTTGGAGTGTCTTCTAGCAATAACAAATAGCGGAACCCACTTTGGGCCCAGTTCAATTAATGGGTTGCATGTTCTCTCTCAGTCCCCTCGGGTCAATTGGTCCCTACGACAATTGGCTTGTTGCCAAACGATATTTTGTGGACACGGATCATCTAACCTCAAAATTTGTCTCTATTTTTATGCACTTTTAGTTGCATGATGCCATGAAATTCTCGCCATATTATGTGATTGGGAGGAATGTATTGAAACAAGGGAGATAGGGATAGTGTGGACAGAGGATCTAACCCATTTTGTGGCATTGATTTGATTATCTGAAGCACTAGTGACTAAACACTTGTGTATTCTCAAGTTTAATTTTCGAATTCTTATTCCTTCTCTTTTTCTTTATTTCTTTCTTTCTTTTTCTTCTTCTGCTTCTTAACTATTACCAAATGATTTTTTATTTTTTTTATTTTAAAACATTATAAATTCAGGAGGTTGTGTTTGGATTGTCTTATTTACCATTGGTTTACCTGCCTTTCTCTTTTTTTTAAAGAATTTTTAAAAAAAAAAATTCTGAGAACTGAAAAATAAAGAGCTAAGATTCAATTAAGTTGGGGAAAAAAAATTTGAAATTAAACCTTAACGAAGTTGTTTCCGTGCGCTGGTTAGAATCTGGTACTAATAATTAAAAGAAAAATGCTTAAAATATTTAATTTTATTTTTTTTAAACAGCTTAAAATATTTAATTTATCATTCAGAAAAATCAAAAACTACTTAAAAAAATATATAACATGTTATCACCTAATAATAACGAATTTGTAATTACTTCTCCTCCCCTCCCCCAAAAGAAAAAACATAGAGAGAGTTACCACATGATTGCACGTAATTGGACGAACACAACCCACCTGATAATTTTTGTTGATTCATTGGTCTTAGTTTCTCCTATTTCTTTTTGTTCCTCTTGAGGACCAAAGAAAAAAAAAATCAAGTATTAGACAAAATGACATCAAGCTCGTAATTACATATACATAGAGAGAGTTTATGGTCCCCATTCCAATTACAGCAATGCTACGTCATCTAAATGTTCCTTAATGACGTTGTATTGAAATTAGATTTCACATGATAGAATGTTTGATAAATTAAAATTTGACATTTATCAGACATATCATTAGAGTTGATTTTTAAGAATGATAAATTAAGCAGATGTAACATTGTTAAAATTTTATTTATAGAATGATTCATAAACGAAATATGGTGAATTTCATATGTGAGCTCTACCCTCTTGCCTATAAATAACTATGTGAATATTTCTGAGCAAATAGATGAAAACAGATTCAACTTTCAGCAAATAGATTTTTTTTAAAAGTATTTTTATCTTATATTATAGATACAAGTTGCATCAAATACATAGATACGAATTTATAAAATTTAACAAAAATAAATTTTTTTTTTAAAAAACAACCTGTCATTGTTACAAACAATCTGCTTTTTTTTTTTTTTTTTTTTTATATATATTTTTTCTGTGGTGGGTACTTGACTGTCGTTGTAGTCTCAATGCCACTTGTTATTGCTTGAAGTCTCTTGTGTGTGTGTGTGAAAGAGAGATAGAGATAAGGCCATGGTTGTCCCACCTGCAACTGTTGGGAAGCATGAAGGAAGGGATCCTGATCCCAATAGGGATCTGATGATATTGATGATGGTGGTGGTTGTTGATGATCTGTTAAACCCATTATTCCATAAAAAGGTGTGAGAGAGAGTAAGAGAGATATGTGGGCTCTTCATTCATTTCTCTCACTCTTAATTTTTTATCAATCATGATCATCGCTTCAGCAAAACAGTAGGCGCTTCCAGACAGCATTGCTTTCTCTCTCATGCATGAATCTGTTTAGGAGCACGCCAACTAAAAACCAAGAGACACATATTTGGTAAATTTTATACAATAATATTATGTTTAAACAAATTTCAAAATGTATTCAGAATTTAAAATTATGACTTAACAAATTTTTAATTTTATTCAGAAATATCAATTTATAATTCAAATTCATTTTCTGGGTGTTGATTTTTGACCACACAACCAAACGGGGAACTCAGCTGGAGAGCACAGGCAGAATAGATTAAGCCCGAACATCTGCTAACAAGAATATGAGAATACCACGGTAGTTCGTCCACCCGGGAGCACTCCGACAATCAAGTCAGTAAGCTTTTCTCTCGCAGATATCAATATAAGTACTTAAACTTCAATAATAAAAACATAAAAGCATCTCAAATAAAGCATACCTTAAACTTACGAGGGTGCCTTACTTTTATAATGATCAATATCTAACTTTCCCTAGAAGTCTTACTTCATAGGACTCTATTCTTTGCAAAGATAACATTTATCACAGCTCACACTGTTTAGATTAAGATGAACTCTCTCAAGAGTCCCATCTGTATCCAAATAGGTAGCTTGATGTCATCTAGGACTTTAGTCCTCTATCCAAATATCTCGAATTCCGGTATTATCGCACTATATCTCGACACCATGGCCCGCCCACGTGGCACCTCGGCTAACAACCTCGGCCACGTGGACTACCTAAAGATATGTCTCCACAACTGTCTCCTAGGTTTTATTACCTCGGCAAACTGACGTGATGGAACCTATACATGTACTTCCCCGACCGAGATCGTGACTCGTTGGCTCCAAAAAACAAGGACTCAAATGTTTACTCGTCAAGAATCAAGAATCAAGAACCAAGAACCATGAACCATCATGTTCCATTTCATCTAGGTCTAACATCTCGATAGAGATCGCACTACTAGCAGAGATCATGACTTGCTAGTTCTAGAACATCAAGATCCTAGTATCAACTCATCAGAAACCAAGAATAAACAAGTTCTGCCTCCATTCAAATTCAACATCTCAACCAAGATCAACATCTCAACTGAAATCATCTTGTTAACCAAGATCACCATCTCAACCGAGATCGTTATCTCAACGGAGATCATCATCTCTACCAAGATCAATATCTCAACTAAGGTCACCATGTCAACCAAGATCACCATCTCAACTGAGATCGCCATCTCAGTTGATATCGTCATCTCAACCGAGATCATCATCTCTACCGAGATTAATATCTCAGCTGAGATCGCACTTCTCAATCAAGATCATCATGAGATTGAAGCGTACCAATCACGTCCCTATCATGTCGCATCAGTTTTGCCCCCTGCCGTCTGACGTCAGGACGGGCACATCAGGACTCGAAATCATAACTTTTTGCCATATTTTTTTAATTCCAGCAAAACCATTTCATCTTCTTATTTCGTCTCTATCTGTGTCCCTAACTCTCTTTCTCTTGGCCTTTACAAACCATCATCGCTGTTCTTGAAGCATTCATTGCTATAAAGACTCCTTTTGTGCCCAAGGTTCAAACTTTACCAACTGAACCAAACTAACAGCCAAACAATTCATCAGTTGCTCCGCACATCAACCCACCATCTCAATGGCAGTGAAAATATCGACATAGCGACAATCTTGCAGCTAGAACCAAGAATAGGAA